GGGGGGCAAAGTAGTAACTTCGATTACGTTGCATACAGCCTTAACACGATTTCCGTTTAGAATGGCGAACATCTCGCTGAGATTGCACTAGCTTTGTAATATTGAATCTATGATAACATGCTCGATCTATAAATACAGATTACAATCGGATCGATAAACATCCAATTCTATACAATCTTCTATACCTTCTTTATCTATCTTCTTTGTTATTATAGATGGATAAAATTTCATTTGTGTATTATTTTCCGAGAATAGCTTTATTAAATATAATGAAATACAATTCGCAATTTTTCAAGAAACGTTTTATCGATAGGAACATCCTGTTGACTCGAAAACATACGTATCAGCGTCACAGTTGCGATAAGTCTGTCGCAACTTGCTCGACAAATGGAACAACTTCATCCATTTTACCTTAAAGATCAGTTCTAAAGCCGGTTCACCTGAAATCAAAATGTATTCAACCGACACCGATCTTTCCAAGCGTATTACCCCAGAAACGTGTGCGAAGAGCTCCGACTTCATCCCGTTCACCGTCCATTAAACAAACGTTGAACTCTGCCGAGTCTTCTTCTATCGAGCTAACAAACGATTATCGCGATCGGCGAATCAAACCGACCCTGAAGGGAAATACGATTAGACCGGTCGCGGTCGATTGTTTGGTCGCGATAATCCGCGTGTAGGTGCTCTCGCGTAGGAGTGTTGCAAGACGCGAGTGCATCGGTACACCTTCGGGTCTCACCTTATAAGAAGCACTGTATAGCCGACGGAACTTCACGAACCGGTACTCGGCCCTGCTCGTGCTCGTGCTCGTGCTCGTGTTGTCGAAGAATCGTCGGCAGCGTGTACCCGGTCAGTAGCTCGGTTTTCCTGGCGCGAGTCGCGACGTCTATTCTGCTTCTCGTGGCTCGCCTTCTCTTCCACTCAACAGCTGATCCACCACGCGCCGCGTTTGACGTTTCGCAAAGCAGCGCGCTTTTCGAACTGTTTCGATATCTCCTGTGCTACTTTGGAAATTCCTAGTATCGCGAAGAATCGATACAAAGAATCGGTACGCTCGTTCGATAATTTTCATTGCAACTCGAAAGTCAGAGATCGGAAGTTTTGAAGATTAGGATAGAGAATAAGAGAAGCATATTTTCGGCGTATAACTTTGCTACTTTCAGATTCGCTGGAACAAAGTTGCGAGAGTCCAAGTACCGGTTTACTATAACAGTAAAAAGCTAGAGGTTTCAGTGATCGTTTCTCTGTAAAAAGGAGAAGAGTCTCGGAATTTTAAGTGAAATCGTGGACACGCTGGATTATTCTAGCAGTTCAAGCATAATTGGCACGGTGAATTAGAAAACTGCGATTCTCGAGAAAAATAAATCGTGACTCGCGTTCGGAAAATAAATCATGGTGTTTGTAAAAGAGGAGACCAGTGTCAGGAAAGACGCACCGGATACCTGTTACGCACACCAGCAGATTATCGCGGAGGATCAGCCGGATGATACCTGTACGTAATCTCCCGTATATTTAGAAGCCTCCATCAGTAAATCTTTTTTTAACGTTGTATCATTTCGTCTCGCAAAGTAGCAAAAATCGACTTGCAAGAATTCGTATTGCGCTGTCTTCTTAATTTACTTATCAAAATTTTAAGACGCTATCCAGTGAACGTTACGAAACATTACTCGATCTCTGATCGCGTTTCTTCTCTCAAATCTTCCCGATATACCGTTAATCCGAATTTTTACCGTATATTTCAACGTCTGTCTCCTTTCGTCCTCTCGTGTAAACATATCTACTCTTTCACGTTTCGGTGTAGAAACGTTCGATCTCTGACATCATCCCGGAAGATAACCTGGTATTCTTCTTCATCAGCGTTCCGTTACCTATCAAATCGGTTGCACGTATACCTTTCGTCGTCTCCCCAGAACCAACCGAACTCTGTTATTCGATTTTGTGATCCAACGACGAATTTCATTGGATCTGGTTCATCCTCGCTAACAACGATTTTATCGACGTGTAAAAGCGGGTCAGGACGGACGTCGGACTGAGATGACGTGAAACGAGAATCGTAAGACGCGAGCTCTCTGAATATTTATCGATCTGTATCTATGTTCAATGTTCATGCATGGTTTTTGTTATTAACGCCTGATCCTTTCGTCTTCGCATTTCCGTGTTCTTATTTCTGCACAAAGAGAAATTTACAGGGAACTTAAATATTTCTTATATAAATATCTATAATATAATATAATATCTATAATAATAACATATATAATAATATATATATCTTATATATATTTTTCTTATATATATAAATTGTATGGAACGTTTTCTTAACGCTAACATTGCCAGAGTAGTCGAAATGGTCAGTTTGTATTTTTTTTATTGGCATTTTGTAGGTTCGCAACAAAAGTTCGAGTAATTTTCGCCAAATAGCGAATTAATTAAAATGAAAAGCCAAAGTCGGGAGTGGCGTATTGATACATACGTACGTCTCTCCCGTGAGTATCGATTATTTTCTACTCGTTACGTAGTTCGTGATGCGTATAGACGTGCCAGAAGATGTTGAATTCACGGTTAATTTTACCGCGGGCTTCTGACATAATCCTACCTCTGCAAAACAAGATTTCAACCTTG